TCGAGCAGCTCACTGGCCAGTATTTTTGGGTGCTGCTGTTTAAATAGGGCACCTAATATCTTTCCCCTGCTCTGCTTGTTGATTGCAGTAAGGGTGACTTGTGCTGTTTTTATGCCCAAGAACATGCTCTAATTTACAGTTCTGCCACAGAGGTCAGGAACAAAACCGAAGAGCTTGGAGGGCCTCGAGTCTGGCATCACATCTTCAATCGGGTCATAAACAGAAAAGCCAAAGACCGTGTGTGTTTGTATACCTAAAACCACCACACATTTGCATAACAGGTGTCAAAGCTGACAACTCTTCTGGCTTTTCCCTGTCACCCTGCCATGTCTCTGGCATTTCTCATCCCCTCCCCCATATTTCCCAATCTCTTGTCATGCTTGCACGTATTTTTTTTTTTTTTTTTTTTTTTAAAAGCCCCGGCACGAAGACTTTTGATGTAGCCAGAAGTGGGGAGGAGAGACCTAGAAAACACTCTGGGTTTCTGGGCTAAGATGGGACAGAACATGGTTACTTTTCAGCCAAGCTTTCAAACTAAAACTTAAAATGATATTTTCATAAACGTTTGTCATAAGGAGAACTGTTACCTTCCACAGCATAACCTTTGACCTCACTGGCTGCCCTAAGGGTGGTAAAGTTTTACTTTACCACAGAAGAGCAGTAGGTTTTTCCTAGGTTTGATTTTTACTGTCCATCTTCCTCGCAACTGGCAGTTTTCATATATGTATGTATTAGAGTACATACAAGAACTATTTTATCGTGATCAATTAATTAGTTGTTTTATGCGTTGTGTATATACTCTGACAGTGTGCCTGTGATTGTGAGTGAGTAAACTTCATGGTTATGTAGATCAGAACCTTTTGAATCAATATAAAGTTACTTGGATGCTAATTGTGCCTGGTCTAGCCAGAGAATAACTTAAAAATCTGACTTTTTATTGTGCAGCTCTCTTCCTTTTTTATTAAGTAAGTGGTCATTTCATCCTGTATCTTAAGTTGAGGCAGAGTAGGCGTTCCCATCTCTTTAGTTTGCCTTAATGAACTAGTGACATGACCTTGGTTCCTTAACCTTTTTCTGCTGAAATGCAACACTGCCTTTCATTTCTTTGCTGTTTTCCCAGAAGTGGTGCAAAACTGAAGGGGTAAAAGAAACAGAAAAACTAACATGACAGCATAGGAAACGACAAACTGAACATTATGGGATGCCGGTTTTCTTTTTCTTGGAAAAACTGAAAAATTCAGTCTAAGCATCAGGTCTCCACCATCTTGTGGCTTCTGCTGCTGCGCCAGCATCCATCCACTGCACTCGTCCCTCCTCACACACACACAGAGTATTAGTCACATATTCACACTGGCAACAACCGCCTTTACATAAAGATGTGGTCGAGGCATTTTGATTGGACTCAGGCCCTTTATTAACTACCATTTAGGAGGCAGAAGAACTTTAAACCCATAAGTTCTAACCTAATGTCAAGTGCAAAAAAGAGGGGGTTTTCTTTCCTTCTTTCTTTTATGGGGAGAACAGAATGTACTGAAGGCAACAGGCAGGCAAGAAGAGCGCGGCTAAAGCCCTAATGATATAGTGTGTGATTGTAACCTTGGTGTTTGTGTTTGAGAAAATGCAAGCAGAGAGTGGATGGACCTCTTCAACAAAGTTTTGCTTTCAAATCCTTTGGTATTCGTCTTTAAAGCCAAAATGAAGCCCCCTTGGTTTTGCACTCAGTGGGCTTGTTTTCTCTTTTTAGATACGAAGCACCTAGTGGAACATGTTTGCTACTTACTAATTCACATTTAGCATGCTGAAGATTCACCACAAGGGGTAGATGTGACCAGCTTTACAATGCCAACCTGTGCCACCCACAGCAAAGGGAAGCAATAGCAGTAGCAGTTCTGACCTGAAGTGAAAGAAGTGTTTATGCTGCCTCCTACAAACAAGAAAGTAATAGAAAAGTAAAGACCCCTTTTTAAAAATTTGTTTGTTGTACTCTTGCTGAGTGCACCTGACTCATACCTTGAGTTCAGTCTTTGTGAACAATTAATTAAATTACCATAAACTAATTTCTTCACAGTGACTCTGCAGCCTCTGGGACCCCTGAGGGTCTTGGGTCCTGAAGAGGTTGCCTACATTGGTATTCCAGCTTTGCTTCAGCATCAGTGACACTGTGGCCTTGTGATATTTCTCATGTTCCTGGCTATTTTTTCCCCCTCACTCAGCTGCTGATATTGTATCTAAATGTACTGTGCTTTCTGCCCTTCTCTTCAGCTGATTCACACCTACGCTAACTTTCCATCTTCACACTCTAACTGCAGAACCACAGACTTATTTACAAAACTTTACTTGCTTGCAGTCAAATCAACCCTTTTCCTGCCAATCTGCAACAACGGCAGCAGCAGGGCAGAACGAAATGAAAGGTCAAGGAGGGAGCTTCCTGTCCAGATTTTAGGAAGTGGAAGGTGCCAGAGCCAGTGTTGTACAGTGTTGTTCCGAGTAGCCAGCCTGGGCTTGGTTTAAGTGATTTTCAGTGTCCCCTTAAAATTATACATGCTTGATTTAGGTCAGATTGTGATGTATTCACACAAGTGTACCATCCTCAACAGACAATCAGGGGACTGTGTTCAGAAACCAAAATCACTGGAACCTCTGCCTGAAATTATATTTGGATTTATCCTGATCTGTATCGTGGTCAGACCAAATTAAAGCAAAATCTTTTGAAATATTTTGATATAATCTCTGAGTCTTGGCCATTAAACCCAGACGGTGTCCTGGTTAGGAATGAGCTTCATTAGAGAGAGAAAGCCAAGAAGAACTTGTCGGTGGCCTGGTTAAGAGCGTTCAAGCCAGAGTGAGGGACTGGCAGTGCTCTGGTTGGTCTGTCATTTAAAATGTGTCGGCATGAAAGGGGTCAGTTTCCCTGCCTTACACCTCCTGCCCTCCTCCTGGCTTTTCATAATTGTCAAAGCACAGAACAAAGGAAAGCGGGAGTTAAATTGGAGCCAAGTGGAGAATACCTCAACAAGCCTCCCTTTCCTCCCTTCTCAGACCGTTTCTAGGCTAAAAAGCTCCACACCTTTTGCTTATTATGCCATGCTCTTAAAAGTGAATAATAAACAGTGTTATGAGCACTTTTTTTGAGGGTTTACTGATAATCTAAATCTCTTCTCCATCATTTCCACAGTGTTCATCTCTTGCTTTTCTCTTTTCTTCAACTGGTTTCTTCTCTTCTCCTTTACATCTCACCCACCATCCTTCTAATTCCCTCCTGCCTTGTCCTGAGTGTAGTGAATGAGGCCCCGGCCATGCGGTAAGTGAATCAGGTATGTTGATTGGTTTGGCAGAGGCAGGTCCTTGCCAGTGTGGCTTTGCACACACTACTCCTTAAAAACAGCCACTTGGCTTTGCTTGTCTGAGAGAGATGGAGGAGAGAGATGAGGGAGGGAGGTAGGGTTAGCTGGCAAAGAAATAAAGGGAGAATGAGAGGAGAGGTGGGGGCCCTCCCAGGACAGGAGTAGCTGAACCTAAAGGAAAGTCATTATTAACTCAGATGAAGCACCACTGGAACAGACTCATTAAGGACAGGTTTGGACCACAGCGACCACCTCAAGACGTCAGAAAATCGGCCAACAATTCATTTAGCAGGCCACAGCTGGGCAACACAAAATGACTATTATCTAAGGTGTTTGTGCACAGCTAAGCTAACAGTTTTCTCTCCAACATTTGGTCTTCCCCCCATTCTCTCTTTAGTCTGTCTTCTTTATTCCCTTGAAGTACTCCACTGTGAAGATTACCAAACCACTGAACCTTATGAAAGTAAAGGATAATGAAAATGCGATGGCTAAATGCTCTGTGTTCAGATAGCGCTTTCTCATAAAGTAATTGTCACCATATTTACTTTCAAAGCATATGACCTTGGTTTATGTTAAACAAGACTTTAGAAAGGCAGTCTTTGAATGTGACATTGTATGTGAGAAGATAAAGGAGACGTGGTGATGGGGGGGGGGACCGGTAATTGATGTGTGTAGATGTTAAGGTGCCACGCTCAGATTTTTTTTATTTATTTATTTATAAATTCCCTCTGGTCAGATTGATGGGGGAAGGGGCACAATAGGATTTATGAGTAAGAAAGACAAATGCTGTTAGATTAATAGAAACCATGTTGACAGGCAGACTGTGATGTGCTAATTGTCTTTGTTCTCATCACTTATAGCCACTGTAGACCTGCAGACTGAAGAGGTTTGGCTGTAACAACTAACACATTCTGTTGACTGTACAAACACACATTTTATGCAACAACATCTGACATACCCAGATGAAATTTTCTGAAATGTCTGATTTGGCCTTATATATGAGTTAATTTGTTTTTATTTTATCACCACATCATTCTCAAGTGACCATGGATGGTGGTGTTGTGCTGTGATGGGCCTGTGATGTTGTGGTTGCCATGGTGATGGACGTGTATGTGCGTAGATGGGGCTATGTGAAGGAGGCTGGTGTTATTGAGATATGCTTCTGTCAGCAGAAGCAGGGAGGCAGAAATCAATGCTGGCTATAACAGCAGGGAGACGACAAAGTGTGTGTGTGTTTGTGTGTTTATGCCTGTACAGAAATATATGCACATATGTAAACAATGCCATTTCTTTTACAAGACGGACAAGGTGAAATGCATGGTGCTTTAGTGATATAAAGATTTAGGGACCAATTCCTTATCATATTTGTAATTGCTGTAAGATATACCCAGTGCAGGATTTATGTGCCAAATTGTGTGCAAGCATGTTTTTATAGTAGCCTACATGCTTTGGGCTTTGCCCTCTTTTAAACCTGTCCTATGGTTTGTGTCACAGCAGTTAGAAAGAAGTGTATAACCATACAGCATGCTGACTGTTCTCATCTTCTACAGTGTGTAACCAGCTGAACTCTCAACCCATTTCCTTCACTTAACTGAAAATAACAGTCATTGACAAATCAATGATGACTAAGTGTTGTTTCCTCCTTCCCTCCTACAGGTGAAAGACCTGCCTGCTAAACACCACTCTAAGGGAACTTCAAAGTCTTGAAGTGACAGTCACAAGAACAAAACAATACAGACCTGCAAAAGAAAGTACTTCCTCAAGAGAGTAAAGGACTTGTTATTACTACTACACAAATGCAGACCGCCCAAAACTGGATCAAATAAACCGAGCATCAAAACAAACACAACAGTTATAACACAGAGGACTTTGTAGCCATGTCTGATCATAAAGACATGACGCATCGCCATCTGCGGCACAAGCTACAGAGTCTTGCACGAAGACTGGATGAACTGGAAGAAGCCTCCAACAAACTGCAGAAGTCTGAGGATGAACTGCTTGACCTGCAGGTCAGTACCGGTTGATCTGTGATTGTTTGTGTGTGCTTTTCAGAGGCATTAAGCGCATTGAGGTGGATGAGGAATACGATACATGAATAGATTAATAATGAATGGCTAAACTGTCTCTCCTCTACAGGACAAGATCATTCAGGCAGAAGGCAGCAACTCATCCCTGCTTGATGACGTAGAGGCCCTGAGGAAACGTCTCCTGAAAATCCAGGGTAAAGATGAGGAGGTACGCAAAGCTGAGGATCTCTGCCGCACAGTCAGAGAGAAACTGGAAGAGGAGGAAAATCTTACAAAGAAGTTAAAAGCTGAGATTGAACGCCTACAACAAAGGATGGCCGAACTAGAAAAACTGGAAGAAGCGTTTGGAAAAAGCAAGTCTGACTGCAGCCAGCTCTTCCTGAGCCTCAATGAGGAGAAGAACTTGACAAAGAAACTCTCGTCTGAGATGGAGGCTCTCAAAGCCCATTTGAAGGAGATGGAGGGGTCTGAGTCAAAACTGGACAGAGCAGAGCAGCTTTTGGCTTTGGAGCTTGAGAAACTCAAGGGATTCACTCAGAAATTTGTGAGTGAGCGAAAAAGGCTACTAGAGAAGCAGAAAGAGGATGAGAAGGTCATTTTAAAGCTGACAGAAAAACTGGAGCACCAAAAGAATCGCCTTGGAATATCAGCAGACCCCAGCCAGGGAGGTTTTATGCGGTCACGAATTGAAGATGAGCTGTCTTCCACAGCACTCATCACAAGTAAACTGAGGAGGGCTGAGAAGAGCCTTGACTATATCAGGTTGCCCGATGACAACATCAGTCTTGTGAACAAATCTGAGAATGAGAAGAACAGCGGTCTTGAAGGTTCCCAGGAGGAGGACAACAAAGTAAAGGAGCTGACACAGGAAGTAGAAAGGCTGAAGAATCGCCTCAAACAACTAGAGATAGTGGAGGACGATTTGAAGAACTTGGAGTCCAAAAATGGCGAACTTCACGAGAAATTCCAGGTAGAAAGAAACCGGGCTCATCAACTGAGTGAGCAGGTGGAACAGCTCAGGACGCAGCTGAGCGGAAAAGCTGGGATTGGAGGAAATGTAACCAGTAATGTGGATAAACACAGCATTGGAAGCAGTAATATTTGCCCCAACAGCCCTGCTAATGTCCTGGAAAATGGCAAAGCTGAGAATGAGGAGATTATTGTGAAGTCTGGTTTCAGACAAGAGAAGCCTAAATACAGGAGTGCTGCGACTGTCTCGGAGCCAGGCTCCCCCAAACACAGGAACAGGGAGCTCTCTCCTCAGCACAAGAGAGAGACTAAACTGAGGAACAAAGAGTTGAGCCACTCAGAGGAGAGCTCACCTAAGTCTGTGAGGAGAGCTCTCAGTCCTGCCCACAAGAGCAAGAGGATACCCAAAACCCCAACCACTGCAATTTCATCTGATAATGGAATAAGAGATACAAGACGAGGAACTGAGGAAAAGACAAGAGGAGCAACATACGGCTCTGTAAATACATCTTCTAGTGATAATAAAAAGGTGTCTGTTCTTAGTCGCTACCCTCCAGCAGCTAATGACCAGAAGCCTCTGAGGACAACTCACAAACAGGCTGATGGGGAGACAAAGAGCAGAGTAGAAAAGTTTTCAAAATTGTATATAGGTAGTGATAGTGAATCAAACAGTTCTGATGTAGTCCCTGAAAGCTCCGGCAATGTCAGCAGTATCTCTGCACTAGAGAAGGACACTGTGTCTGCCTCAGATCAGGAATTAGTAGACCAGGTTCAGGAGTCTGCCTCTGCATCTGTGTCCTCCACCCTGTCCAAAGCCAATGGATCATGCTCAGTCTACAAAGCCCACTTCACTCCTCTACTGCCTAATGACCAGGGGTCAGAGGGTCATTCCTCTGCCTCTGAAACAGAATCTACCGGTTCAAGGCCCTCTGAACCGGAGCCTGTAACAGAGACAGCTACTACAAACATGAGCAGTAGGACTGCAACCTCTAGACGTCCAAAATACTCACATACCCATGACTCACATTCAGGGGGTTCTTCCTCTAGGAGCTCGTTTGATGATGAGCTCCACAGCAGAACTCCGTTCGCTGAGGGGGGGCACCACGGGCCCACGCATACTCCATCAGGGATAGAGATCCAGCGAGTGTGCAGCCCACGTGAGGCACTGAGATCAAAGGCTGTCATTAAGCCTGCTATTGTCGAGATTGACAGGAAGGAAATGATGATTTCAGAACTTCTGCCTACCAATGACAAACCCAAAATTTCCACCAAACCAATCATGACCTCGAATAGTAAAATGACCAGTACTATAACCATCTACCCTAATGACCCCAGCTCTTCCAGAACCAGCAGCCGCAGCAGCAGTGTGTCCAGTGAGCCCATACCGGTCAAAGAACGCCACACTTCCACCAGTAACATCCTCATAGGTATGTTTTAATAATTCATAGTTTCACCAGGCCCATGTTAGCAGCTCTGTGAGGCTGCACAGGCATCTTTGTGCTTCGAGCTCAATGCTAACATGAGCATGATCACATTGAGAAGTTCAACATGCTGATGTTTAATAGTATGTTTATTATGTTCGCCATCTTGGTTTAATATGTTAGAATGCTAACTAGGATTAAACAGATACGTTGAGGTCATTTGTTTTTGGTCATTACAACAACACTGTGGTCCATAGAACCTCTAGTATGGTTAGATGCTTGATATTATGAAGGACACTGCATTGCTGTCCTGTCAGTCTTATTGTCATTTTGTTGCATATATGAAATGTTTTTCTTAGAAAATATCTGACATAATATTGTTTATTGACAGGCCCCAGCAGTGAGCACCATGGCAGGATTTCCATCCCATATGAAATTTCCATCCCTAAGAGTGAGCTCACCTTGCGGACGGGCCAGCACCAGGACTGTGGGTCGGACAGCCACAGTGATTCCTTGTCAAGGTCCAAACTGCACAATACTTCCAGAGTGGAAACCACTACCAGTCAGCTGTCCCTCCAGCGCAACAACTTCAGCCTCCAGTCCCCGGACTCCACGTCCTCAGACCTCAACGACACAGAGTCAGGCTTCGAGAGCGGCACTAGCAGTACCACTACCATGGTGACCAGCTTGAGAAGCCAAAGACAAAGCCACCACTCCCAAGAAGATAGTTTACCAGACATAAAGAATATGACTATGAGAAGCACCTGGAAGAACAGAGGCACTGTGTCAGTGGAGGAGACAGGCCAGGGAAGAGTGGGTGCAAGGATGATCGCAGATGGAGGGTCTGAAGATGAGGCAGAAGCAACGACAACATGGAGGGCTTACCGCGCATCCACCTTCGACACAGAGGAAGTGATAAACAGTGGCTCAGGAGCTGGTGGCAGTGCTGCATTACAGAAGGGAGCCAAACCATCCCCTGGTGAGCTGAGCATGAGTAGACTGTATAAGGAAAAAAGAATAATACACTGGATGAAAGGAGTGTACTACTTCATCCCTGCATAATGACGCTGTGTGTTTTGCTCCCAATTCCAGGTGTACATGCGTAGGATCACCAGTACAGTTAGTAGCACTCGAGATGTCGAGGAGCCAGTGCTTCGCCGGGGTAAGCACTCTCAGTCTCCCATTATGGAAACGGGACACCTTGGAAGAGCCATCCCCCATGCACCTGTGACCTCACAGTCTTGGGGCCGATCATACACCCACCAACCACTGGTAAGACAACCCATCTTTGGGTTTTTATATTTTATTCTGCTCATAATTGTTAAAGCCACAGTATGTAACTTCAGGTAGCACTAATCAATCCACTCTGCTTTACTACGATCTACTACTCTCTGCCGCTCTGCCCAGCTCTTCAGATGTTTGTTATTGTGAAATTGCACTAAATAAAAATGCAACAAAACTTACTGATAGAGCAGAAATAATTGAAAATAGCTCATTTCACTGCACTGCTTGTCAGTGCTGTTCAATGAGGTTTTGACAGAGCCTCTCCATATTAAGACATGTTTTGGAGCATATTTCTACAATAAAAAAAATTTGAAAAATGTTACATACTGTAGCTTTAATTTCAAATTATGCAAGTACAATCAGTGTTGATATAAATTATTAAAGTGGAAAGAGAAAATGTGGCATTATATAGCGCACAGATCTACAGTAGAAGATACTATCCTAGTCCCCTCCCTCCCATTAGCTCCAATGGGCTTAATGACATCTGCGCAACCCTCAACTCCACATCCCATTCAGTTTGTAAGTCCTCTGTTCTTGTCCTTCTGACCCTGTCCCACATCCTTCTCTCATGATATCCCTGATTACCTTGGCAATCTCTCAAATGAGTGAATGCCTTGTCTCTGATGTGGTAAATCAGCAGCAGCTTAAAGAACTGCATGTTTTGATGCCACTTTATCAGTTTATTTTGTCAGTCATGTACTTTGTACTTTATTAAAGGAATGTCCTAAACCCACTTGGTTGAGTCTGTGGTTCAGTGAAACCTTGAGCAAAAAAAAAAAAAAGTGCTTCAAATCATAATTGGACTTTGAAGCACATCTTGGAGCACAGCCAGTCGTCTTTGGTTTGGATTTTCAGAACATTTCTGTGGTCTGAACAGGATCCACTCCCAAAAGGTTCGCATAAATACAACTGTAATTAGGACAGCAGGGGGTTGGGCTTAGTTTGTGATTGCAGTGTCAAAGGTTGTCAAAGGTGGTATTGTTATAAGATGGAGTTTTATGGAGGATGAATGTAGTCGCCATTGACTGTTTATTCACTGGTATCTGTACTTCTATCTTTAGCCAAAGTGTAATCCATTTAAGCTGCAGTCTGCATGTAAATAGCAGCTGTGTATATATGTTGTGTTCCTCTAAAATCACTTTCAGCATAAAACTGTTTGAGTAGGTGTGTGGTTTTTCTAAAGATTAAACTCTACTTCCTGTCTACATGATTTAAATTATTTTTATGAAACCTGATATCATAGGCTTCCCAGTAATGAGAGTAGTGTAGACTTAAATCAGCTGACTCTGGTGTTTCTAATTCCTGGAAGAAAGTACGCCCACCTCTGTTAAAGTGCCGAAGTAAAGGTGTACAAAATATAATGAGAACAGTGGAATCCAGTCAGTCACAGCTACACTGAAAGTACTAGGTATCCACTCATACATGTTTCTACTTGTACTGTCGTGTAATTGTTGCTTTTATGTAATTTTTAATGTTTTATCCATCTATGTGCATTGTGTTGCACATGGATGCTATTTTGGTTTATGACCAAATACTTGTAATGCTAATTCTCATTAGGGACATTCTGATCGTTCTCAGCTGTACTTAGTGTTTAGTGCTACTTGGCAAATTTTAGAACATGCTAAACCAAGATGGTGAACTTGGTAAACATTACCTGCTCAACATCAGTGTGTTAGTCATTGTAGCACACTGGCATTGCTGCCCACACTGCAGCCTCATAGCTGCAGACTCTTGTCTTGTTAAGGCTCTGAAAATGGACACTGTGAGCAGAACTGGTAGCCAGGGAAAGGGAATATAGTACTTGGTTTAAAAGCCAAATCTTGATATGAATAAGTGCAACAGGTCAGTGTTAAAATGGGGATTGCTGGTTTTCTGGAGCACTCACTCCACACCTCAGTACAGAACAGCACAGCACTGTTGCAGAAGGAAACCTCAGCCTGTAAATGAATGAGCCATGACCTTATGCTTGGCTGAGGCCAGTGGGGCCTATATGGCCAGTGAGCGAGATACCAAAACATCCTTTGCTGGATCAAAAACCACAGAGGCAGCAAGGTAAAGTGTGGGCTTAGAGTTGTTCTGCTGTTCACTGTTCGCCTGATGTGGCCAGTGCAGATAATAACAGACTGCGCAGCAGTTTTCAGTAGTAGGTTAAATGACCCATGAAAAGCAATAAATGAATGCCTTTAATGCCTCATAACCAATTAACATATTATCATCTGGGCAAATCAAACACAAATTTGACCTTTTCTGAAACATTTCACCTGGAGTGTCAAGGGTATTGTCTTACTGCAGAGCAGATTTAAAAGTTTAGTTTGGCTAGACAAGACCATTCCTTAAAAATGGGCTTGAGACCAAAGACGGACAGATTTATAACAGAGATAGCCTATAACATGTTCTGCAGCAGCTTTGACACGCTACTTGTGTTATTTCTTAAATCGTCTGGCCTTCACTCTGTATTAGAAAGCAGACTCTTCTCATAGTTTGTTTTGGCTTTCCAAGGGATCTCTTGGGAACTTGATTGATAATTCTTCAATGGAGTGCCTTTTTTCCTCTGAACACTCCAGAGCACATGAGCTGAGTGAAGGATGTATTGAGATTGTCTGCACATAAAGCCTGAAATATCCTTGAGGAAGAGATGGTCACTTTGGAAAATATGCTTATTCACTTTTCTTTTCAAGAGTTATATGAGAAGGTTGGTACGACTCGTGTATGGTAAATACTACTGCTGCAGCCAGTTAGCTTAGCATGAAGACTGGGCAAGACATGGCCTCCGAAGGTTTTTATCATTTTTCTTTCTTTCTATTTTATCGTTCTTTCTTTATTACCAGACTCCATATATAGTTGAACATACCCACACATGCACAAATATCCCCACATTCTTCTGTAAATGTCCCTGTATCCATGTTCAGTGTTTTGTCTTGTTACTGTGCTGTTTTGTTGCAACTTTAAAAAACTGCGTACAAAAGCAATATGTCTTGTCTGATTTTCAACAAGAAAGCATGTCTCTGTATCTTCCCATCATATCAAACCTACAGAATATGACTATCCTGTTGTCACAAGTAATCTACCCAATAACACTGCCTTTCTTAGTCCCACCTTTTCTGTTTTTTATTTTTATTTTTTTTATTTATTTTTTTTTCTATGTCAAATTATCTTGCTGTGCTGCCAGAGCTGATTTACTGTTGCTGATCAGGACAGCCTATAAATGTAGGTTCCTCCCAGCTGAAGACATCCAGAGTACATCTGTGACAGCAGATTTCCTGTTCTACATCAACTTATTTCACAGCATTTATTACAAGTTTTACAAAAGATTTTCTAGTTTTTGGTGTTACTGAAGGCTCAGATCTTTTAAAAGCTGTTTGGCTGTATAGTGCATTACAGTCATTTTCAAGCTGTTTCTTTTTATTTCTATTATTATATGCCAAAACGTTATTGTCCAGGATATTTTCTTTTATTTTAAATGTGTGCTGAACTCGGTACAAGCCTCGTGCTTGGTGTAGGAGGAACACTGAAAGTGCGTTGCATGGCTACCTTATGAAAGCCCCCGGTCTTTCAGCAGCAGCTTACCATAGAAGGAGAATATGCCACTCTGCCCTTTCCTCCTCCAGTGGCTGGAGCAGGAAATGACCACACTGAACACACCCACTTGGCATGGTTTTCTGGTGACTGATTTCCTGTCTGTTACCCCGGGAGACTGACAAAGGCAGTCTAGCAGGGCTCCATTAAAGCCAATTAGCAAGAATGCATTCTAAGACGGCGTCAGAAGCCAACTCCAACCCACCAAATGTCACTAATTATGGTGCTTTTTTAAAGCTGAAACTACATTTGCTGCTTTGTTTGCTGCAGGAACTGCATCGTCATCTGACTCTCACTTTTTTTAAGAGCAGAGCTGCTGAGGTTATGATGGGGGACGTGTTGTTGAAGCCACCACGGAATAGTAACTTCGGGTTTGTTTTCTAGTCAGCCCAACAAATTATAAATCTCTCAGCTTGGGGGCACATTTGGGGTTTTTGGTTTTTTCCCCTGGCAGAAGTCCACATGGCAGACTTTCCTTGTCGCACACCAGTTAACAGAAACAGCATGTATTTAATGCCCACAAAGCAACAGTCCAAAAAAAGTCCCTAAACAAAATGCCCAAACAAAATACACATCTTTTGAATATGGGATTGAATAAACTGACCTCTCTATTAACATCTGTGGTTCTGACCAAGCTAGTTCACTTATTAAATAAGGACTTACAGCAACTGACAACTGGGCTATGGACAAGAATTTTCTTTATGTAATTTAATTCTTTATCCAATATTTTAATCCATTTAGGCTGCTGATACCGCAAGCCCCACTCCAAAACCGAGCCACAGCCCAGCTTCCTGGAGATGGCAGCTACCAAGCAGTGACTCACACCACCTGGGAAGTTCATATGACCAGGGGTCTAAGACAGCAGGGGCCCCCTCCAGAGGAGGGGACCTGTGGTCCAATCGGAATCAAGGGTCGGGGGCCAGAGCGGAGGGGAGGAGCGGAGTGGGAAATCGACCATGGAGCCGTCAGTCTGAACAACATTAGACTGCTCAGGTTTGGGCACAACCTCTACCGCTTAGAGGACAGGTAAGATAGGGCAGGCTCTGGTCTTTGGTTTCTCTTTTTATTCTTTTGATTCCTGCAACTGATTAATCACAGGAAACTGATGTTAATTAGCCCTTTTGCAGTGATGTGATTTCTCTTAAGGGGCTTTCACATCAAATTTTCATTGTAATGTTGCTGTGACACACTTTATAGTGCTGGAAGTGGCACATCTATCATGGTGGCAGTAGGACAGTGGTTTAATAAGAAGGGTGACCCCTAGTGAGGAGCTCTGGGTTCACTGCATGCAGCAGCCTGTAGAGGTTTCCTTAAACTAGGCAATGCCAGCAAACCTAGAGAAAAATCCTTGGTAAAGCTTTGTTTTAAGGGTCCGTAATTTCAGAATATTGTCCCGATGTGAGAACTATGCCATTTAATACAAATAAGGGAAACCTGAAATTTCCTTGAAAGAAAAAGCTCAATTTAAACTCCTTTTAAATATTCATTGATTAGTCATTTATAAGTGGAAACGTTATTCTTCTGGCATACTAATGAAATTCACATTTTTACATGCTCATGTTTCATGACTATTACTCAACGGTTAGGATTTTAATTGGATATGTATCAGCTGAACACGGTGTTTTCCCCATAATTAGTGGGAAACCCTCTAGGAAACTGAGGAAATTATAGATGTGTAGTTGTCATAAAATATTAAACCATTATTACTGGGATTATGTAAACTCTTTCTCTTGACTGTCTTTTTCTTAACAGCACTCCATTAATCTCTCAGTGACACAAGCAAAGCCAAACACCAGTCTCTCATCATCTAATGGCTACAACTATTACCACCATCTACTACAGGCAACATCTGCAGCTTTCATAACAAGCAAAGAAAAGAAAAACAGCGGTTGCAGCCACATAGAAGAACAAACCACAGACCCGACCCTGAGTGTTGCCTGAGATGTGAACGGCTGTTCCTATCCAGAACTTTCTCTGTACCAAAAGAGGCATAAATGGAGAGACAGTACCTGGACAGTGGCGTGGACGTCGCCTCACCAGCCCGTGTATCCTCTTCTGCTTCTTGTGTTGGATGTATTCTAGTGTAATCCTGAAACTTGACAAGGGAGAGGTTGGCATGCTGAGGATGGCTGGAGGTTTTCTTGCATGCCAAAGAGAGTTGGAGGAAGAAGGACTTTAAATTTAGGAATGCCTTTCCCAGAGGACCATTACAACTGGATATGTTGCTTTTGAATCAGACTTACAACAACCTGAACTTCATTCAACAGCAGTACAATGTTAAAGATGCATCTTCATCTCATAGGGCTGGATCTTCATGCAGAATAGACAGATCTTTACCTTAAATGTGACCAAAAACAGGAAGCGAATTACCATCTTTGCAGACTTGCATTATAATATTTGCTCTTTCTTACTGAGCTCATAGTTGCTTTGATGACTCAATCAGGCCATTAACTTTATAATTTACTCACATATATATACAAATGCATACAGACAACAACAAACACGTGCATTTATGACTTTAGGTTTACTTTTACCCGCTGTCACCACCTTCTGGCATGCAGTGACCCTCAACTGGATTTAATTTGGGGTCTTGTGTTGAGCAAGCATTTGCATGTTTCCAAGTAGTACATGAAGAGTGCATAAAAAAGTGTGACTCAGCATACACTGCTTAATGGATTGCTGGTTGGCCACATTTTAGAAGTGTACACACACACACACACGTATATGCTTTCTGACAGACTGGGACCTTATACTTTCTGACATTTTTCACCACAGTTTTTTTTTTTCCCACCGTAATTCGCTTCCTGTTCTGTATCATCCTCTCCTTTATTGCTAAACCATATCAAGACAAAAAGATCATTGTTTGCACGTAATGAAATGTAATGCACATGTAGGAAAAATAGAATGATTGATTGGAGGGGGCATTGTTTATATCCTCAAACCATGCTGCAATTTCCATGGTGCTTTGTTTTATAGCTGTTGCAACTGTCCGTGTTCATGTATTTACGTGAGAGCCGTGGCAAAAATTTCGGATTACCAGCAAACCTGGCTTGGCAGGACGGACACTACAGTGCTGCTGTAAATACTGTGCACAAGCCAGCCAGTGGTAGGCAAGACAAGAGGGTTGGGCTTCTAACAACAAAGAGCTGAAAGTCCAGCTTGTATATGACTGGATTCGCCGTGCGAATCGTCCCAGCTTACCTCCATTTCATATTTCTATAGAGGTATATTATTTTGTTACATCATAAAATATCAACTTGTGGTTGGTATGTCAGAGCGGTCTTTCATTGGTGGGGCCCATAGCAGCAATAGGGGTGCCATGGAAACTAATTTAGTGGCCGCCAGTAATGAAACACGGTGTTACATTTTCTGTAAAGTTTGAACAGGTTCCTGCTGGCTTTTTGGACCGACACATAAGATTAACTGATATGCGATGTATACTTTGATCTTGGAGAAAAACTTATGAATGTCGCCAAGGAATGCAGCTGAGAATGACCAATTGCTTCGTGGCTTGATGCACCGATCCAACACGACTGCGCTCTCTGTCTGACAGCACGATTTAACCTTAACTGTGACAACTCTGAACACACGGGATCTGCTCAAGAACCTGGAACTTTTAAAGTCTGTTTGTTCTGCTGTTGATTTCAGTGCTGTTGAGTCAGAGTGTGCAGTTTCAGTCTGACCACATTTCTCAGTTCTCCACCATCTTAGCTGTAATATTTATTAGTGTCTATATATGTATAAGTTCTTTTATTGTGAAGAGGTCTGCTGGGTGCCAAGAGCCCGGTCTGTTGCCACTTTACCATTTATATCTGCAAGTAGGTGATTATATGCAGTCAAACTGTCTCCCATGCGATATCTGTAACTTCGTGTCATCGTACCGATCCTAGATGGGGGCTGTGAAGTGAGAAGTCCAAACTGAAGTGTACGTTTGCCTTCAGAATGCACATTTTCACTACTTTTACCCTTTTGCTAGTGATATCTGCAGCATGCTCATTTGTGCCTTGATGTACAGTAAGAGAGAGAGACTGTCCCAGCACATTCAGATTTTCACCCTGTTCTTCCACTTGCTCTGCAGATAACTGACGTACAGTACTGATTGTAAAGCTACCTTCTTAACGTTATATGATCTTTACATTTGTGTTGCAAAAAGTATTTTGGTTTAAAACGATGTTTTGTGTTGGAGCTACGCTCCCTTTTTAAGAATATAGACTGCACCGCTCCAGAAAGCCATGTCCTCTGGGTTTGTCTGTTGGAGTTGCAGGGTGTAGTGCAGCTTCAGAAAGGATTTCCTTGTGGCCTCTGTACAGCTACTGTTTGCTCTATGATGGAGCAAAAACAGACCTGGCATAAGTGTTCAGAACAATCAGTGCACATGCCAAGGCTTGATGATTATACAGTCCTTCTTCTCTGTCTTGTATTGTTTCTACCACCACTCATTTAACAGTACCGTTTGTCATGTATCATTAGGGAAAGCAGTTTCTTCTCTCCTCTTCTTCTTCCGAGTCTCTGGATCTTCCTTGGATTCTCTCTTTTTTTTTTTTTCCTAAAATGGAAGCCATTGTCCTAAACAGTGATTATATGTTTAGTTTGGGAGTTGGAGAGTTGTTGCTTTTTGAAGGCCAGAGGCCTGTTACTAGATAGCTGAAGGGTCAAAGGTCAGGGATGCATCTAATCCTGCTTCTACATCTTCACTGACGATTTCTAATTGTAGGAGGGAGAAAACAGATGAGGGTGTCCGATGTCTGGTGCAGCCAGCACTCATAATGCCAGACATGCACATGGTTGTCCTTTTGGTGTATGTTGATTTTAATATATCAGTAAGGTCTCTTGTTCAGAACTTGTCATGTGAACTGGCGTGTTGTGAACTGCTGCAGGTGCTGAATGACAAAAATGCACGTTTTGTCAGGGTTTGCATACAGGGCCCATTTTGTTTATTTATCTTTAAGGTTGACTTCACCGTGGGTCAGGGTTACTGTGTATAGCAACTTGGTGATACAAGTCATAACATCATAGTCCTCCTCAGCTTTTAGCCTGCCTTACTGCTGCCATAGAGTTTCTTCCCTCCATGCAGTAAGTGATACTCTGCCATGCAAACAGTTTCACCTGTTACTACACATAAACTGTGTGACCTCCTTAATTCTTCTACCTTTCTTACCTTCTACTCTTAAACCTTTCTCTCACCCTGAGGCAAGTGCTTGGGTATCCCAGGAAGAGCCCAACTGTCCCAAACTTGTAGTACTGGTTTTCTGGCACATTGGAGGGTTTCCCTCCTGAAGACAGGCTTCAAAAGAAGCAGGGCTCTTTAAATGGCTAATGTGAAACCCCATCCTCTGCTGTGCACACCACCTCTCTTCCTTACATGGCTGTAAATTGCACTAATATCACTACTTACCAACTGTATATCTTCGCCATCCACTGAAAGTTGCCTAAATAAAATCTGTGTGCCGTGAAAAAGACTGGTTGCAACTTCTGTCTGTATGTTTTGGGCATGTCACTACTCGCATGTCGCTTATTACTTCCAGTGGCAAGAGCCTGTTCACTGTTGGCATGGTAACATGTACTCACTGGTCGTGTGGGACTCGAATCAAGACTTTTGTGCCAGTATAAAGAGACATCTGGGTGCTGTTTCAGAGTTTGTCGGTTCCTCTAATCCACATGTGAATGATGGCTGTTCAGGGGAACATTTGTTAAATCAGAGAGCAGGTAGGGTAGCTGCTACTGGAGAAGAACATTTTGGACATGGCTTAGGATAATTTAAAAAGTCCAGCAAGGACAAGAGGTGGTTGATTAGTGGAGAGAAATTGGGCTGCTTCGGCTTTCCTGCTCAAATACCAGCTAGAAATTTAACAGAATCCTCTAAAGCTCTTCTGGTGTATGCATAAACATCCGTTATTTACACGTCATAGTTTGTTCCCCCTTTAATAAAGTAGACTAGAATATACTAAGTGGAGATTGTTGTGGCTCGGAAACGGCTCTCGGGCTGTGAGAAGGCCCTTTTTTGCTCAAAGGCCTCTTGCGGATCCAGGGTTATGGTGTCATTGGGTGTCATAGGCTGTAATCTGCACTTAACCAGCACTTAACTTTTAGACTTCAAACGGCTAACACCACCTTTAGTCATCTTCATTAGAAAGTTTCCTCTTTTGTGTCCCAGTATTGTACTTGGTCTGTTTTCAGTAGCTGATGCTGAATTTGTTTGTGCCCCAGCCAAGAATCTTTTTTTTTTTTTTTTTTAAGAGAAGAAATCAGAATGAATGGATCATGTGTGAACATACAGTATTTCTTAAGGCGTGGCACCCTGTTCATGCCTGCATCTCACCCTTCTAATGTGCCAAAATCATTCCACGGTATTGCCAGTTTACAGTGAGACACGGTGCCAGTGTTTCCCCCAGGACAGACACCATGTTTATAAGATATTGAAATAAAGGGGAAATGTTCAATTTGAGGGTTTTCTTTTTTTGTTTTTGGTTATATATGTTTTTATTTCTTTTTTTTTTTTTTTAAACAAAAGATGTCTTATTTTGGAAACTGTATGGGATAGATTTTATTTAAGGAAAATCTTGTAATTTTGTAAAGTGGGCCTTATTATTGAAATGTATTTGTCCTTCTTAATTTTAAGGATGATATTTTGTGCAAGATAATGTGTCTTCCTCATTGTTATTACACTCCTGGAGAGTACTTGTTTTATTTTAATGCGAGACATTTCTCATGACTTTGAGAAATGTTGACACACCCTGGGTCAGAAAGGGAGAGACTATGTTAGAGAGAGAGAGAGAGAGAGAGAGAGAGAGGCCAAGGTTGTGTCATAGTCACTGACGAATGATGTGCATTTTATCGGAGATGAACAGGCCTGCAGTGCCGAGTGGTTTACCATGTGCTGTCCCGGTTTTATCGAGGGTCATTCAGCCCTCCAGTCTTTTCGCTGCTTTGTTTTCCCTCGCTCATAAATTCAGGGTTTGTACATTTTCTGAATGTCATGTTGTAAGTGCTGCCAAAGAAAGAATAGTGCGCGCCCCAGACACATCTACTATCACATAAACTAATAGGAATAATCTAATAATCACTAAAAACCATGTACAAAAGCATCTCATCAGTCTTGCACATGTACTGCACATGCACAGATACAGATTTCAGGCCTGTACAATCAAGTTTTTTTTTTTTTTGTTAGTTTTTTTTTTTTATGCTGAGTGTTTCTACATGTGTATGCAGGAGGAGGAGACTGACGGAGGTGTCAAACACAAAAATGTATGTAATGGAATCAGATCAAAGGGGTTTTATGATTTATGATTGCTTCTCAGGCTGTCAGCAGTACCAGGCTGACTGTGTGTGGAGGCTGTTTCCTTTTTCTGTTTTAGACTTAATACATTGTGCATGTTTTAACTTTACTGTGGCTGGCGCACTCTGCATGTAGGTCTCTTGAAGCTGCCAAGTGTACAGTAGACCATATGTATTCCAATAAAAATAAAAACCAAGCTGTTTCTAACATGTCTGTGTTGGAATCTCTCTCTGTATGTGTGTAGCTGATTGTGTTGTAAAAATCAACTGTTAATCATTTATACTTTTTGCTCAGCAAGTCTTGAAGTCATAGCAGCTCTCTCTCTCTCTCTCTCTCTGTCTCTCTGTCTCTGTGTGTGTGTGTGTGTGTGTGTGTGTGTGTGTGTGTGTCTAGTTGCCTGGCTTGTGCAGAGGAAAGAGTAGGTTAGCTGACAGTATGCAAAATAAGCAGGCAGACAAATGAGGCAAATTGGTAAGGTACAAAGAAGAAAACTGCAAGTTGTTGGGGAATGTAAAGTCAGCAGACACAACCTGATGAGAAACAGCTCTGCCTCACTTTGTGAAGAACAGCAGTTCTGTCCCTGCAACGGTGGTTTACCTTAAATCTTATCTAACACAATCTAGTCGGATGAAGCCGACTTTTCATGTGAAAGTCACCAACTTGTGATTCTCAGTTACTTATTTTACTAACCATCTGTGGTGTTGCGAGCATCTCAGTGGGGTTATTCTTGTGGTTTCCTTTTTTTTAATTTTTTTTTTTGTCCTGTGCACTTAAAATCATCCGCCTGTTAGTATTGAGTATTTTTACTTGCAGTAAAAGTTTGTGGATATTTTCAAGTGCTCCTCTCACAAATTTTCTCATCATTTGTGATGAGGTGATACCCCACAGGGGTATTGGAGGTTAACACTGTGTCTTGCTAGTGTAGTTTCATATGCAATGAGGTGCTACCCTAACACACGGGTGCCTGTTTGGACCCTGGCACTGGGGGGCCTCAGTGCTGATGTCTGACCTGAATTAGTGCTGTGAAGTCAACCACAGAAAAGACTCACTCACTCACTCTTCAAGCCAGCCGAGGATTAGGAAGCTGGAGGAGTGAGGGTGTCAGCAGGTGCCATAAAGACTGGGGGGGATGCTGAATGTGTACATTTGTAGGCGTATAGCCTTTAAAAGTGCCACCTACCTGGTAACTGCAATGTGGGACTTTATGTAAATTATAGAACCGATTCACAAGTTGACAAGACTAAATCTACAGCCAAGCTAGCTGCTCTGAGACTTGACTACCAAACAAGTGAAACCACTGCACGGTGACTATATAAATTATTACAAATTTGATGATTATGGGTGATGTCCAAAATACATGTAACAGCATGTGGGAGATGGTTCTACGTGTGTAAGTGCACATTCCACCCCACACCTATGAATCACATGAGATGTGCCCAGGCACGCCGTGGTCTCTCATCCAAGACTTTAAGGACGCTCCCTATCTGATTCTGCCTCTCTACCAAGTAATCAGTTGATGTAGGCTTGAGGCTATTATGAAAAATAACCCCACCAGTCAACCATTACACAGCTCTGAGCGTAAGGTTTACAAGGGAGTTGAAACTACCCAAGAGCTGCAGTCCAAAACCCCAGCTCAAATTACTGTTGTTAGATCAAACATCTCCTTTGGTCATGATAATAACAACCGCAGCTATGGAGAAAAACAAGGCCTGTGCATGGAAACAGAAGGGAAGAGAGCCTTGGAATACAACCCCACAGAGGAGCTCATCCCCCTTTATTCATCAGATCCCCCATTATGTGGAGCTGCAGCCAGGGACCCTCATCAATCCTCCGCGCACAGCACCACAGACCCTAAAGTAGTCATGTTACGTTAGTACACGGAGGTACAAAAACTATAGGCGATACAGGATGTAGTTGGTTCTGTTTAAAAATATCAAACACAGATTTCAAGCTTCAATTCGTCTCCTTTTAATAACAAAACAAAGGACAATATAAAACAAGTATGTAACGACATACTATTGTGATAATAAAATGCTTAAATTGCTATGGCAACAAAAACATTCCCAATTCTTTCAACATATCCACCTTTTTAGCTTTTAGTACAAAATCTATTCGCTATACTCTGCAACCTAAATGATACAAATGAAATTTACGAGGCAAACCGCTACAGTAGAGTACAACGCGATGCTTTAGTCCTGCTTTAAGACGACAAAGACAAGGCCCCTGGAATCACAACAGAGGGAAAAGCAAACCAGCTTTAGTGAATCGAAACTGTGCTACTGAGTTGGTCATCTGTCTTGCACGTACATTAGGTAAAGATGTTTTCAGTTGCTGCTTAATGTTCACAAAAGGGCACATAAACAGATTCTGGATCGCTCCAAGTCTCATAGGTAATGCCATGCTTCTCTCTTAAGACTTAAAAGTCACATTTATAAAGTGTAAGATGGATTTTTACACTGGCATGTAATAACATTGGGATTTATTTCTCATTTTTTAATGACCGCCCAGTATTTGTAGTAATGTTTCTGTCACAGTTAAGTGTAGGTATACTGTATGTATAGTCTCACATTTTGCTGGGGATACTAACATCCCAAGCTAAAATTCTGATGAACTTGAAATGCTGCAGTTAAATCTCAATTCCACAGAATACATACAACCAGACAGTAGAACTGCAGAAGTGTCATTATTTTAGTCTGAAGGCAAAGCAGCTTCTGGGACTTCCAAAAGCTTTTGCTGAGAACTGTCAGCAGTATATGGGCAAACTTCTTCCTTTTCTCATAAACTGCTACAGTTGGTCAGACAGTCTTGAGTTGGCAGAAACCGCAAGAGTCCATTTCAGACACTGGGGGTGGGCTGAGCCTGCTGAGGGTTGCTGGTAGCTGTGGGAGTGGTCTGTCTTGGCAGCGTGTACATGGCACCCAGGAACTGATCTGCGATGCGGCCAGCCTCGCGGAGGCCACTAAGCAGGGCCCCGTGAACTGTGGCCGGGTAATTCCTGATTGTGTGCTCACCAGCAAAGAACAGACGGGGGACAGGCTGAGAGGGGGGAAAAAAAAAACACATTGAGATCACCATCCCAGCATAATATGGAGTTAAAAACAGGGGATTTGGTGAGGGTGGGGAAAGCATGGTGGTAAAATGTCAGAAATCATCAGACAACACATCAATCAGACCAACATCAAAATAGCCCAAAAAACTTCTGTGTTGGGATCAAACTGCTCTGCTTTGGTTGAGTGTTGTGGGCAGGCTTCTACAAACATTCTCAAGTGTCTGTGTGTTCACCTGTGAGGCTCCAGGTATAGCAGGGCCAGGTGTGATGGGCTGTGCCATAAGGTCGTAGTCGTTACCCGAAGAACCTGCTGCGACATATGAGTAGGAGCCCCGTGCCCAGGGGTCAGCGCGCCAACGGGTGACAACAGTTTCCTTTGGCTGCCATGACAACAAACACCACCACATAATTTAAAGCAGTTTCCATGACATTAAATGACCTGTAAACAGCTGGGTGGCAAATCGTTCGAGTGCATCTGGATTTAATAAATTTGCTTGTCTTAGCTGATGTACAGTTGTGTACCTGCGGTACAGCGCTGCTTCCAAAAATTCCTTTGAGAATGGCCAGGCAGCGTCCAACAATAACATCATCACTGATGTTCTCCATGAAAAAAAAAAAAAAAAAAAGTTTGTTTATTTTCTTAGCAAAACACATACGAGCAAGAATATTTCTGGTTATTCTTTAGCCTTAAGGAAATGTAGAGTACAGTTAAGAGTCAATGAATTATCCAAATGACTGAAATGACAAGTGATCTCTTGTCACCTTTATAGAGGTTCCAGAAGAGGAAGAGTTCACCCCGACTTGCTGTGGTGGAACCGACGTGACCAAACAGGTTGACACTTGGATCCCAGAACACACGGTCAAAACACAACACCACCTTTAGACCGAAAAGAAGAGAAAACAGCTCAGTGACCTGTGAAGTATGTTTTGCTCAGCACTAGTCATGGCTGTGTGAATGGTAGTGCTCCCTCTGCTGGAGACAAACATTTGTCGCAGCTCAAATTGCATAATCCTGCAGTACTGTCCTGTGTGCTGCAGCACAATTAGGATATATGCTGCTCTGCTGCAGATGCTAGTCAGCAATACAGAGTGCAGGAGCTGGTGGATCAGGAGTGATGCAGAATGAGCACTCTGATGGGATTAGTAACAAGTTAATGGAGTTGAAATCAAACTGAACTAACAGATCAGTATCAATATCCAGCCCAAATGGAAATGTACTGCAGGACTTAAAATCTAATTCTGATTCTGCAAGGTTCTGCACAAAATGATCAGGAAAGGTATCCTGAAGTGGGCTGGGGTTTAACATTCACTTCTCTGCCCTCCCACTTGACTGATCTTGGCTGTATCAGACATGTTGAGGTATAATGACAAAGATCAGAAAATCTGAATGGGATCCTGTAGCTTGAATTGAGTAATGATAGGATGAAAGGAAGAAGTTAAATTTGTTCTGATGAAGCTCAGGCACAACATTGGCTCTGTGTACTGTTTTAAGAAGCCCGACCTTGTTCAGGTTGCCAAAGCCCATCCTTTGTATGGCAGAGGTCTTCCACTCAGGCAGCGGGGGAACAAACTGCACAGCAGGGGGCTGCTGCTTCAACACACCGAGGGGCAGGGTGCACAGCACAGCGTCACACTTGTATATAAAGGTCTGGGTTGTTGAGCGAGTGTTGACAGCTATCACCTCACACCCTTGCGAGCAAACAGACGAATAATTGTTTGATACACACTGTACCGTACATCTGTATAAGCATCAATTAGGAAATCCACAATGGAACACAGTCACGAGTGCGTACCAGATGCCGTGTATCGAACTTGCCGTACTGCTGTGTTTAGTTTGATGTCCAAACCCTCAGCTAGGGCCACAGGAACACAAGAGTACCCATTCCTCACTGTCAGGTGGCTGCCAGTGAACTCAAAGTCATCATCCTGTGAATAAATGAATGACTCATCATCACAGTAGCACAAACCTCTTTACTATTGCCAATATATGTAAAACCATAATGGCTGTAGTATCTCATTCCTAAATTAGCAATAACTTGAAACATACATGGCAGCCTGAGGATCTTTGCAATGCAAGACCACTGACAGGACTTTGACATTTTAAAATGGGTGCATGTAAATACCTGATCCCAGTGTTTGAGAGAAAGGGTGGAGAGGGGCGTAGCGTTGGCGAACTCCAAGTTGGCAAAGTGCCAGTCCAGGATCTGCCGATCTCTGGATGACAGGTAAACATCACTGTGGGAGAGACACGAGACATGGTAATGTACACTGACAGGTAATTGGATATACAGTGGGTAGAGAAAGTATTCAGACCCTTTGCTGTGACACTCATATATTTAACTTAGGTGCTGTCCATTTCTTCTGATCATCCCTGAGATGGTTCTACACCTTCATTTGAGTCCAGCTGTGTTTGATTATACTGATTGGACGTGATTAGGAAAGCCACACACCTGTCTATATAAGACCCTACAGCTCACAGTGCATGTCAGAGCAAATGAGAATCATGAGGTCAAAGGAACTGCCTGAAGAGCTCAGAGACAGAATTGTGGCAAGGCACAGATCTGGCCAAGGTTACAAAAAAAAATTTCTGCTGCACTTAAGGTTCCTAAGAGCACAGTGGCCTCCATAATCCTTAAATGGAAGACGTTTGGGACGACCAGAACCCTTCCTAGAGCTGGCCATCCGGCCAAACTGAGCTATCGGGGGAGAAGAGCCTTGGGGAGAGAGGTACAGAAGAACCCAAAGATGACTGTGGCTGAGCTCCAGAGATGCAGGCGGGAGATGGGAGAAAGTTGTAGAAAGTCAACCATCACTGCAGCCCTCCACCCGTCGGGGCTTTATGGCAGAGTGGCCCGACAGAAGCCTCTCCTCAGTGCAAGACACATGAAAGCCCGCATGGAGTTTGCTAAAAAACACCTGAAGGACTCCAAGATGGTGAGAAATAAAATTCTCTGGTCTGATGAGACCAAGATAGAACTTTTTGGCCTTAATTCTAAGCGGTATGTGTGGAGAAAACCAGGCACTGCTCATCCCCTGTCCAATACAGTCCCAACAGTGAAGCATGGTGGTGGCAGCATCATGCTATGGGGGTGTTTTTCAGGTGCAGAGACAGGACGACTGGTTGCAATCGAGGGAAGGATGAATGCGCCCAAGTACAGGGATATCCTGGACGAAAACCTTCTCCAGAGAGCTCAGGACCTCAGACTGGGCCGAAGGGTCACCTTCCAACAAGACAATGACCCTAAGCACACAGCTAAAATAACGAAGGAGTGGCTTCACAACAACTCCGTGACTGTTCTTGAATGGCCCAGCCAGAGCCCTGACTTAAACCCAATTGAGCATCTCTGGAGAGACCTGAAAATGGCTGTTCACCAACGTTTACCATCCAACCTGCCAGACCTGGAGAGGATCTGCAAGGAGGAATGGCAGAGGATCCCCAAATGCTGGTGTGAAAAACTTGTTGCATCATTCCCAAAAAGACTCATGGCTGTATTAGCTCAAAAGGGTGCTTCTACTAAATACTGAGCAAAGGGTCTGAATACTTATGACCATGTGATATTTCAGTTTTTCTTTTTTAATAAATCTGCAAAAATGTCAAAAATTCTGTGTTTTTCTGTCAATATGGGGTGCTGTGTGTACATTAATGAGGAAAAAAATGAACTTAAATGATTTTAGCATATGGCTGCAATATAACAAAGAGTGAAAAATATAAGGGGGTCTGAATACTTTCTGTACCCACTGTAAGAGTGACATATTTACTCATGTACAAGCAAGAAATGGCTGCAAACATAACAATTTTAGACACACGACATTAAATAAATAGAATAGGCAAATCATTATAGGGCATTATACAGGAAAACAAGTGGAGTACAGGGCTCCAACAAGCACGTATTTTTTATTACCATTATGCAATGACAATATTCACATTAGCAAATATTGACTCAACATAGCTATTCTAGCATCCTTAGCACCTGATTAGAACAACTGGGAAAAAAGGCCAACAGTAACATCACAGGCTATTGTACTGCAACAAAACAGAAGAACACATTACTGCTGTCTATGTTACGGTGTAATCTGACTACTGTCCAGTGATGAGATGGATACTATGAAGGTTTGGCCCTCATAATAAACAGTGATCATGTATATTGTGTAGTTGCTAAAAGAATGATTGCATGCAAAAAAATAAATTGGACAAATTAAGAGACAATATTATTTCACTACACATCACGGTACACTTTAACTACTATAATGCCAAATAAAATGAGAAGAATGGTTCACCTGGGTGGATTAGCCTCCAGCTCCTGCAGCTTCTCCTCCAGTTTGACCTGCATCTCCACCAGCTCATCATACTCCTACACACAGACAAGGCACACAGCAAGGAGATTCTTTATGCACCTTAATTTTATCCATGCATAGAGTCACTGCTACAGTTAGTTATCATATTACTAGTGCATGGGGGTGATACATATTGAAAAACTGAATACAAGAGTGAGCGATATGGCTGCAAAACCACAGATTCAAACTAAATTTCTTAAATAAAAAGGACATAAAATTAATATGAATGAAATATCAGCTGAATTGAATTTGCTCTGAATTGCACTGTATAATTTCTGCATCAAATTTTGCACCATGTATCATATGAATCAAATCATGTGAGATGGCGAGCTACACACCACTACTAATGTGCCAATATTTTTGCTTTACACATTTATGTTTATTACAAACAATGCTCTTAAAAGGCTTTAGGAGCTGGTGATGCCTTTTATTAGGTGAAGGTGCAGGCTTGTGCATGTGTGTGCAAAAGGTTCACACCCAGAGGGTTTCAGGTCATGTAGAAAGAACAAACTGTCTTGACAGAGAGGGCTGCCTCAACCTGTTCATCCATTCACCAAAACAAAACCAGCTACGACAGTGACACAGAGTCGGGTCAAGCCAGGCCCCGGGACACAGCTACACTGAGTCAAGAACTATTAATACCCCCAGGCTAGCAAGCTGAGACAGGCAAATACTTATATATATAAAATAAAAAAAATCCTAGCAAAAATATGCCCATAAATTTACCCCCTTACTAGCCTTAAAATGTTGCCATATGATGTCACATAAACACACGTGCACACACTCGCATCCATTCTGCTTTTGCTGAAAATGTGTGCGCATATCCACAGACCAAGGGCGTGATTCAAGGCCTCGAAGTTGTTTCACACACAGCGGATGGGTAGCAGACAAATCCAGGTCAGACACCAGCTGTATCTAAACCAACCAAAACCTCATTCTAAAATACACACACCGCAGTAGTGGAGGTGATTTGTCCGCACCAAAAATATAACAGCTGTACTCACTCTAATAATACATCCTACCAAGGCATTAAACCACTTAAACACAGCCTGTCTGGTTTACTTAGATAGCATGGCAATAAAACTGTGTGGGGCATCCACCCTGACCTGGCAGTGTGTAATCATCCCTTTTACATGCTAGGTCTTCTGCAGCACAGTGATGTTTTAGCAATTTATTTGATCTTTGTTTATGAAAAACATTATTTTTTAAAGCAAAAACAAAGATTGTGTCCTGCAAAATGTGCTGATTTACCTTCTGTCCTGTAGCGACACGTAAAATTCAACCCAGGGAATCTGATACCGCTTCAAAATAGCTCAAACTATAGCAACTAAAATCAGATGCTGTGTAATGCACTCAACACCACAGAACACATCTGGAAAGAGCTAGCTGTTAAACTGAACTGCTTTGTCTAGATTATTTGAAGTTGTGCAGTCTGAAGTGTAAGGAAATACAAGTATGCCCATGTAGCTTTTTTCTCTGTCGCTCCTTAGATTTCTGATGATCACAATTCTTTTGCTGAAGTAGTGTTTGAGCTCACTTTGCAGAGTGCCGTGAGGTCACGGTGCTTGCTCTTCACCAAGAACTCTGCTGTGATATCTCTGGGTGGTTTGACCTCACTGGCCTCTTTATACTGGTGATGGAGCTCCTTAACTCGCTCCTTAGTGGTCACCATCTGTGGGGGAAAAGGAAAGGCAGGTAAAGAGAGGGGGAGGAAGGAAGTCATGAGATAATGCTGGATGACAGGAAAGGCAGCAAGTACAGTCGCTATAATCAGCAACATGGCAAAGTTGTTAAAATGTAACCGACTTAACATACTTTTTCAACAGTATATAAGTTGATCGGTTTATTTGCCATCATACAAACATGAGAACATTTCTGAAAATAAATGTTCCACCCAGAAAGCAAAAAATATGATCTCCACAATTTTGATTTGATTTATTTATTCTTTCAAGCATGTAAAGACAGTTGATATGTCAACGCACATAATTTTACACATATCCAACAAATGCTAATCCATTATCAATGTGCTTATACCTAGTACATGCTTGAATAGAGTAGGAAGAAGTCAGACTTATCCAGTCCTACCCCATGACATCATCTTACCATCATTGGTTTGCAAGCAGTATCTCTAAATAGATAATTCTCTTCTACACCACACAAGTAATATACTAAGAAATGATTACAGATTGTTAACATTCTTACATAATTACATTCTTAGATAATTATCTTCAACACCACACAATTAATATACTGAAGAATTATTACATAGTGTTAACATTCATACACCACACCCACAATTGTCCATGTAATTAACCATTAAGCCTGTTCTTGCATATATCTTGATTGACACATACCTTTATATTTATGTTTAAACTCATCAATTCTATTACTATTTTTTATGTCCGCCCTTAAATTATTCCATAGTTTTACCCCACTTATGGAAATACAAAATCTTTTTTTGGTTGTACGTATAGCATGAATTTTTAAATTTAACTGACCCCTTAAATTGTATCCCCCTTCCCTTTCATTAAATAGTTTTTGCACAGGGATTCCCTGTGCAATGCCTTATGACTACAGGAATACAACACTGCAGGGTCATCAGTGGTCTCAAGTTGTGGCATACTTTCTTGACAACGTAGTTTGCTAGTTAAAAGATAAGGCTGGTGATTTTCTGTTTTTATTATTTTCAAAACATCCCATATAGAGACTAAAACCCAACAATGGATTTGGTGTACTCACAATAAATCAATCAAAACTTACAGTGAGCGATGCTACTGCACTGACATTCCTTTCTTGCGAAATATGTGGGGTATGAGATCACATACATGTGCAGCTGACTCCTACTTAAGACTATAAAAAGTAACGGTGGGTCTTAATATTCAGAGCTCTTTGAAGGAAAAAAAAAAAGATGTACCTCTCATTTTTTTCATGAGGAAGAAACACATCATCCAGTACAACCGTGTGGCTCACTCAAGTGTTTTTTTTTTTTTTTACTCTTTTTGGACAGGAATGGATGGCTATGGCACAGAAGAATAAGCTAAACCAGGTTCTGGATTAATTATGTTGAGCACGCTAAGTTCACTGTTGGCTTTATTCTCTAGTAACAAAAGCATACATAATCAACAGCCTTATCCTTTACGTCTTTATTATTACTCCACTCAGCTGTGATTTCCACAGTTAAAATCAAAATGGCAATTGCTTATTGCAGTATTAAAGCTGTTTACAGCTACCTCTTCCCCAAAGACAATGTAACAGCTGCTCACCTTGTTGAGAAGATCCCTGAGCTCTTCCTGTGTCTTTACAATCTTTTTCCAGTGTTCTATCTGTTCATCTTTTACATGCTTCTCCTGCAGCCTGCACAGACACAGACACACACACACACACACACACACACACACACACACACACACACGATTAGAATTAGTGGTGCATCTATATAGATGTCTTGTTTGGGTTCATGTGTGCAGGGTACATCCGTAAGCCTCTCCTGTGTGTACACGTGATATACACTGTACTCACTGTATGACCACCTCCAGGGCCTGTCCCAGAGAAACGGGCTTGTTGTTGAGGAAGTTGAAGTCCAACTGGTGGCTGAGGTAGGAGGTGGCCTCCAGCAATCTGTTAAACTCCTGCTCTACCATCTCATCTTTTTCTTTTGGCACCTAGACACAATCAATCACACGACAGGGGCATTGGGCCATGAGTCACACTAAATAAGCAGAGACTGAAACTATAAAAAATAAAGTAATTAAACAGGACGAAAAGCATGCCAGGCATAGTTCAGCCACAGCTAAAGGCTCGTATCGTAGTGACAATAAGCATCACACAAAAGATTTTCATGTTTAGTCTTGATGGTATTTATACTTTAAATGAGTCTATACTTCACCCTGTAACTCAATATCTATACCAGCCATTGACTGATTTATGTAAACAGAAGAAGCATAAATGACAGTCCCTCAAATGGACTTTCTCAAATGTCCCATGTCATGATGAACATGCAGTACCAGACTTAAAACTTACTTCTAAAATGTATTAATATGGACATCATGGTAGGAGAGCAACAGTTTTATAGAACAGGTCTTGGTGAAACTCCAGATTTTAAGTCGCACTTACTCTACCCCAACCATTGGAGTCCATGTAGTTGGATGTACAGACTGTTATGGCTATATAATAAAAAAAGCTAAATAAGATGTTTACTGTAACTGCCCTATTCTAGGTTTCTAGGACGATGAAGGTTTAACACAAACTGCTCATTTGTTTCTCTCTTACAGTTACATGGAGCAAATCTAAAATGGATGGCAACAAACTGCTGAATTTCAAAAGTGATTCAGAATGGGGTAAGGAATGTATTATGTAAATAAACGATACATACACTTGTGCACCGTTCACCCTTTAGTAGTTCACCATAAGATGAACATGGAAGAGGTTGAAAAAAAACAAGAAGGGAGGGGGAGAGAGAGAGAACATTAAGTAAACACAACTTTAACCTCAAACAGGTTTGCACAGAAGTACAACATGTACATTTCATTTGCCTTTTCCTGTGGAGAAGGAAACCAGTTACACATGATGTGGACGCATCAAGAGCCCTGCTGCCTAGTCTCTGCTTCAATGCAAGTGCCCTGAGCATGAACCTAAACATCCCATTGCTGCTGCTGCTGCCATTTGATAGACATAATACAAATCAGAGGGGAAAAACCCTGTTTATTTCCCATTTAATGACATTAGGTTATATCTGTTTTCTGTTCTGCTGTGCCCTGAAAGGACCTGGAGCTGTTGTTGAAGACACACAAGGGGAAGGAGTTAAATGAATCCACCATTCATTGGGTTTTGTGGTTCATGGAAAGCCAGATCTCTGCCTCAGGACAACAACAGGCTTAAAGAACAGCTATAAACCCAAACGCAGAGCACTTCAATTTGAAGAGGGAACTCTTGTTCATATATAAACATCTTCTGGTAAAGGAAGTAAACAACACAAGGTCCTAGTTTGAGAAATTTAGTTAGCATACACATATTGAAGGCAGCTGTAGCTACACTGCCCTGGTGGATGGTTACTGTTGAGGTTAGCTGTTTGTAAGTGAATGTGACCTGACGCAGAGCTAAAAACGTCAGAATGACTGAAGCAGGCACATATTTTTCAAGCATCAGCTGGTTAGATTAAATCCCATGCATGCCTCTGCTGCCACTAGCCTCTTACCAACTATCCAGCTGTAAGGACATTTCTTGGCTTTATGAGATAACCTGGGATTTTTGCAAATAACAATTTACAGAAAATGAAGCCTTTTTACAACTACAGCAAATATCACCCCAAAGGTATCTCAGGATTCTACTTGTTACATGACAATACCCTGAGGAGTTGAGTAGGGTAGGATAATGGATAAGAGGCAACACATTTTACTGAGATATTTCATTATACTCACAGCCTGGCCATTGGCTTCATACAGTGGACACTTCTGTTTGATCTTGGCCAGCTCCATGTTAACCTGCTTACTGATCACTGCCATGGGATTCCCTCCTGATTAAGCAAACACAAATTTGACAGCGATACAACACATCCATGGGCAATATCACCCTCTACCAGTGGACCTAAGTAACTGCAGAATCTCTGTGCAAAGAAAACCATTATCTGGCTCTGCGGTGACCTCAAATCATGTGCTACTGAGAACCATGTGCATGTTGTCATTCCAGGTAATTATAACACAAACTAATCATTTGCATCATGAAGATGTTAGTATCCATGTGGAATGTAAACGTAAAGACATTATACGCTAAGGATTTATAGGATTCTTTGATTTCATCGTGACAGTGACCTCAGTACTGATGCAAGTAAAAAACCTTACCCAGCCCTGTCACCACCATGGCTCCTAGATCAGCTACATAGTTGCCCTTCCTAAATGTAGCCACTCTACCTCCAACACGGTCCTGGAGAAACCGAGAAAAAAATTATTCTGTAACATGGTAAACCTGGGAAATCTAGAATTACAAAAAAAAAAAAAAAAAAAAAAAAAAAAGATAAAATTAAGTCTCTAGATTGATTATCAACTAAACATACTGATACCATAATGAATAGTGCTATGCTATCAATTATAAGAGTATATAGTAAATGTCAAAATGATTTATACATTTAGAAAATGTGATCAAATCACAAATATACCTGAAACACCAGATTAACAAAAACCATTTGTGACCTACCCTGGCCTCTAATACTGTAACATCCATTCCGAAGCTCTGCAGCTGCCTGGCTGCAGCTAGGCCAGACACACCTCCACCAATAACTATAACCTTCCCAGTTTTCTTACCTGCAACAACAAGCAGAGATTGCAGTAATTAGGTATCACTACCTCATTGACCATTCCAAGGTCAGTGTCTTGTAAGACAGCACAATTCTGTTTTCTAACACATTAACATTTGACTAATATTATTTTACCACTGCAATGAATGAAGTGAACTCACTGGGTAAAGGCTTGACCCTCTTATAAATGCCAAAGTTAATGAGACCATGCCTTTCTAGGTAGCTGTGTATCCTGTGGACCAGCATGGCATCACCTAAAAACAAGACAAACGCTCATTAAATCTCAACTTATGTATGATTGCTATCCTTATTGAGAAAAATTAAAATACAAAAAGACAAAAAAAATTATTTTAATTTGATGTCTCACTGTTGTATGGAGCTTCAAGCTGCTGTGCTGTGGCCTCAAATGTCAATTGGATCTTAGGGTTGTCCAGCCACAGTTGGAGCTGGATGAGGTTAATATGAATTAAGATACAGTAATGGATAGTATGTATAAAAACACTCAACCATTAATCCAGGCAGGTGTTTAGACTGACACATACTGTACGGTTGCGGATGTAGAGGAAGACCTTCTGAGTCTGCTGGGGACCACCGATGATGTCAGGGAAGCAGGCAGCCTCCTGGGAGGTCATACGATCATGAGGAAGACGGCTCTGGAAAGCAGCTCCTTCCACACCTAAAAATAAACACAGTATCACCATTCTGTTAACAAGGACTCATTTTTGTGAAAGTTAAAGGCCTTTTAGTGTCATTTAGGATACATTTAAATAAGAATATCAGGAGTTCTACAAAAAGCTTTCAAATCAACACATTTTAAGTTTATATTCCAAAAAAAATAAATAAACAAACAAAAAAAACAACACATTTCATTTCACTGTTTTGACAGGATGCCACAAGATTCAGACTTACCAGATGGCTCCTCTGGTTCGCTGTCATTCTCCTCCTCTACTGGTGGAGCTGGAGGAGGGATGACCTGCTTCCTCTCTTTCTCTGCTTTGGCATTCCTCTCCTCCTCTGAGTAATATTCGTCCTCCGACAGATTTGCCAGGCTCTCATCCATCTCGCGGTACTCCACCTGCAACAGTAGGCACAATAAAAGCATCATTAAAACCAGCATTACCATCTCTGATTAGTTGGTGTGATCCCATTTCACTTGAAAGTGCAAAAATCCTTTCTGGAAGTAAGAAACAAATATGATGAACATTACACTGAAAAAAACTATGAGAAATGATTTCTATTTGTAATTTGCAATGCTGCATTCAAGTGAGAAGCTGTGACTTAAAGATACACAGCAGTACTGCACATAAAGCTTAGATGATACATGCATTGATCCTTTAATCACACAAACAAATGGTCAGACTATATAGTGAATTCTGCCACTACCAAATACATTTTTTTGGCAAAATCCATCATTCACTGAGCATGCAGAAACTTAAAATGTTCACTTTCGCTCGCTTGCGTCGGCTTGTCCTGCGGACTTCTGCTGAGTCCTGGTCTGCCCCCCCAGGGCCTACTTGGTGGGGCAAAGGGGTGCCTCCAACTTCCCCACTAGGGGATGACCTCTCCTTCTTTTTGACATCCATAGCTCCTGCTGCTGAAGCTGAGGGACCAGTCTGGGCATCAGATACTGGGGCCCTATCACTTCCTGCTTGTCCAGCAGAAGATGAGGAGGAGGAGGAGGAAGAGGAGCCAGTGTCTGACTTCTTGCTAGACAGCATAATGGAGGATGCTGGAGGCCTCTCCTGAAAAAAGGGGAAGAGAAATTACATTAAACCCTTAGGTATGAAGCATACAACAGCCTGTGCTGCAATCATTTTAATTGAAATGATAAAATATATATATATACGGTATATATATATATATATTGCTAAAAAGAAGATGAAAATGATGACGTGTGGGTTGTGCATGTTGAGAGAAGAAAATGATTTATCATGTTTTGTTATTACACTTAGCATTACCAATTAAGAATATTACAGCAATTTGTTTAAAAATTACTGTATAGCCTAAAACAACAACAAAATCCATGCCAAATGGTTATCTCACTTTCTCACTAATGGATTTCAGACAAAATAGCTCATATTAGAAATTGTTCACTTTTGTTTGGAGCAGTAAATGCACCTGCTCCAACAGACTAACAGCAGTCAAAATACTGTCGAGCTTTGATACATCGCACAAAAAATGTGTCACCTGTATCACTGGATGATTTAAATAATGTTAACGGCGCATGGATGTCATGGTTTTATGAAATGAGGGCTCCATGGTACAGTAAACTTGTCTTGTTTTACCCATTTCTCCGTGCACCTGGTAACGTTAATATCCATTCAAACACTAAGAAATGAAGACAGAACCAGAAATATGGTTACGTACAGAACCGACTGAACAAAAACGGTGGCCTTTTACATTACATAGAATAACATTTAACGTAGCTAAAACCTTTGAAAACCAATTAACAAATACTCTTTTATAATCACGTGCAATATGCTTCGCTATGGTCCACCTGTTTGACAATATTTTTTAACTGAAAATATCCACTCGATAAAACCTGAAAAGACTGAAAATGTGCCCGTTTGGATCCTGGTGGTTGACTTGTGAATTTGAACAGTATAACTATTAATCAGAAACCGTTGTTGTGGTGAGGTTGTTAGTACCAAAACGGACAGTAGCGTTACGTCGTACTATTCTGCTGTTAGCGCTAGACCTAGCTAACTTAGCTAGCATCATTACTTTGTGTTAGCCGAAGGGCGCATTGTTCTTGACGGCGACTTGCAACACATCTTCCATTACTGGACTTATTTTTTTATCAATACTGCAGCAAAGGTTGTGAAGTAAACATAAATTTGAATCGCTTCTAAATGTATCTCCTTTAATTTATCTCACTGGACCATGCTACATTAGCTGACACCGCTAACAATAGACCGTGGCTAGCACCAACAATGGCACTGTAAAGTAGCAGGTGCGACCCAGTGAAAAAACACAGGCTCCACTCCCGAAGGGGTTTTTACTGATATGGAATTACAGATTATCTTCCCAGGACCAAGGGCCACGATTCTGAAAAATAAAGGTAAGCATAAAATACTGAAAATAACATTATTACCTCTTAGTCCTCTCAAGATGTCAACACAAAGACTGCACAGTAGCAAAAGCGCCTCTCAGTGTAGTCTTTCGTGATTGGTGGATCGAAAGCATTACTCAGTACTATTCAGCAAAACAATTGGTCCAAAATAATTGTCACTCTAAAAGAAGAAAAACATTTTTTATTCACGCTTGTACTACAATTGATACTTTTTAGTTGTATGGCATAGTCTTGCACAATGTTTTTCATAAGCATATCTACATTGTTTTGTGGTTTTAAAAAGAGGACAAAAATCTGGGTTGAAGTTTCCTTTTTGGTCTGGCTTGGGTTCAGCTATTTTGTTTGCATTTGTTTTCCTTGTACAGTTTGAGAAAAGACAACACTGATCCCAGATCAGAGCATTTCAGCTCTCCACCCATTAACATAGTCACAGTGACGTCAACTTTCGAAGAACAGGACGAACAAGAGCAGTGGGGCTAGGCAGGTAAAGGTGATCTATTCAGCCGCGCCTTTTTAAGGAAGCTTATCGAAGTTTTGTTGACAACCCAAGTTTCTCCATTTTAGCGTGTAAGTAACATATAATTCAGATTTAAATGTTTATGAATGTATATGTTTGTGCCTCAGCTAACAGTTTCTCATAAGCAGCGATTTAATATAGCATAATGTTTAACATGAACGAAGTCAGTCCTCTGCTTTGCGTTTTTGCTCTTGGCAGATCTGGGTGTTGCTGGAAGTTACATTTCAATATTTTTGTCTGATATTAAGCTTTTAGAGGTGGTTGGATAATGTGTTTAAATAAGGTATATTACCTGTTGCAACCTTATGCAACGCCCTATATTAAATCAAACGGAGTAAGACTAAAAGAAAACGAAATGGGTAAGTCTTTGTTGTCAGAGCAGGGAAAAGAAAGGCGCCTTTATCTAGATTACTTTAGGGAATGTTTCATATGTTTGGTTATTTTATAATACACTTAAAGAAAGTTAGCCTACATACTAAGTCCAAACTGGCATGCTGATCAACAGTCTATCCAACAGAAAAAAAAGATGGTGAAACAAAAGCAGGAGACAGCAAACCAGCCCGACAACACCGCCTTCACTCAGCAGAGGCTTCCGGCATGGCAGCCAATCATCTCTGCTGGCATTGTCATCCCAGGGTTTCTCATCATAGGTCTGGCCTTTATTGGCATTGGTGTAGCGCTCTTTGTCACTTCGCAGAGCATCCAAGTGTTGGAGGTATGATTGTGACCACTGTCTTGTGTAATGCTGAGAATTTTGTGTCAAAAGTCACAAGCAAAAAGAGGGGAAGAGGAGAACAATGTTCCAAGAGTCTGTGTTTTCAGTTTTGAGATGATATTTTTGCTATGTGAACAACTGCTATCTATTCACAGACTTAAAAGATATCGTACTCCTGTGTTTAAAAGGTGTGGTGTCAGTAACAATGAATGGAGATAGGTGTATCCATAAATAATTAATAATAGCCTGTTTTGTGTTTTTCCCCACACAGATGGACTACACTGGGGTAGACAAAACATCACCATGCAATAGGTGCACTGATCCAAATGTGAAGAGCTGTTTGTGCCAAATGGACTTCTCCATTGACACTCTGTTTAAGGTTGCAATGTAGCTTTGTGCACAATCACACACAAATTGTTGTCATGTTGAACTCCTGCCTCTGATCATTGCCTGTGTTTTTCTGATTTTGCTTTCCTCCTCAGGGGCCCGTGTTCTTTTATTATGGGTTGTCCAACTACTACCAGAACTTCAGAAAGTATGGTGTGTCTATAGATTATAACCAGCTGTTTGGAGACCTGTCATACTTTACTGTGAGTTAATGACAAAGGATATTGAAAAACCTACACACAGAACACTGGTTTAAATTTCAAAGGGAAAAATAAGAGCCATATGTGCTCAATGAAGTTATAGTTGTACAAACATGCTAAGTTGTTATTTTGGTCAAACATGGGTGCGGGTTATATATTTATCAGTGTACATTTGTTCTTAAAAAAAAAAAAAACAACTGTTTCCTCTTTCTTGAAGTCTCCTAGTGAGAAGTGTTCACCGTATCAGTATGACAATAACAACAATCCAATTGTACCATGTGGAGCAATGGCAAACAGCATGTTCAGTGGTACGTAAGGGCAACTATACCTCAAAGAAACTGAAATTAAGTAAATTGACTGTGTCAATTAAGTATTAATTCTTGTTTGTTTGATTTTAAAGACACCTTCAAGCTGTTTCAGATCGTCAATGGAACAAACAAGGAAGTGCCCTTGGATGGAAAAGGAATTGCTTGGTGGACAGACTCCAACATAAAATACAGAAACCCCTCTGTCACACCTCTGCAGATGGCCTTCAACAGTATTAATTTCTGAACTTGTTATTTTCTCTGTTTAAGTCATACAGTGATACAGACTGTGTTTAATGAAGGGACAAGTGGGTATGCGCAAGGCATTAATAAGGTGCAAAAAGGTTGGATGATAGTGTAAAAAATGTGTTTCTTAGTACAGTAAACAGAAGGCTACAGGACTGTTAAGAGGTCTCGCAGGGGAAATCACATTATAAATCATATTGTGGTTAATATAAAGTAACATTTGACAACCATGTTGGCTGATCAAAAGTTTTTTTGTTTTTTTACCAGACACTGTGAAACCGTTACTTTGGGCAAATCCTGCTTATCAGTTGGATCCCGCAGATGCTAACAACAATGGTTTCATCAACCAAGATTTCCTGGTGTGGATGAGGAGGGCAGCCCTGCCAAATTTCAGAAAGCTGTATCGACGAATCACTAGCGGGGATTATACACAGGGTCTGCCAGCTGGAAACTACACCCTTCAAATTGCCTACAGTATCCTTTCATGTGTTACAGTGCTTAAAAGAATGCAATAATTGTACTTGGATCCTATTTTGTCTTTCTCTGGCAGGCAAATCAATTCTGTGTAACTATTTGCATTTTACTTGTTGTGCAGATTTAATTGATAGACTCCAACATCAAAAGCCAAAACACATGTTCAGCATATTGATACTCACTCTGTAATAAAATATGTACCCTTTTTTTTGCTTACTAAACATCTTTCAGTGGTCAGTAATGCCAGAACAAGGTTACATTTGAATCGGGAACATGGGAACATTTATAAGCATCCAAACTGAAATGGCGACGTATCATGTTTTGTTCAGCAGTTTAGACAAATTTGCTTACCAGCTGGGGGTTTTGTCCTGAACACAATGTCTAAGGAGTTCATGGAGGTGAGAAAAATCAGGCAAATTTTCTGACATAAGTAAATGGCCTAGGCAAATAAATTTTCACAGTGACCTTTGAAAGTCCTCAAAGAGGACATTTGCAAACTCACCCTGCTGAGCTGCTCTGGAGCTCCCCACTGGTGGTTCAGGGTGGAAACATCACCAGTACATTCCCTCTTTGTTATTTGTTTGCTGATTAAAAAAATTAAAGCTTTAATTGCATAAAGGATCATACCACTGTGTTCCCAAGTTTAAATCAGTTAACTACAAGTCATGGACAGTATACTATATTCTAATTGTTACCAAGCTAAATGTGATATCTGTAGCTTACAGGCTAAAACATGAAAAACTAATAGTTGTCTTTGATTTTATGTATTTAATACTTCATTGAAACTATGAACATGTGTATTTTTTGTTTTCTAAAGCTTGGTGTTTTTATATTTGTGATCATCCTTAACATTTTGTTCCTCAGACTATCCTGTTCTGAGCTTTGGGGGCAGAAAGACAGTGGTATTCAGCAATGTGTCCTGGATGGGTGGCAAGAATGATTTTCTGGGCATCGCTTATCTTGTGATTGGTTCAATGTGTATCATCATGTCCATAGTTATGCTCATCGTCTATGCTAAATTCAGATTCTCCGAGGAGGAATAATCACCTGTCCATGAATTGTAGCTGGAGTTTACCTACTTTATTAACAATGTTTTTCCTCAGTGAGATGATGAAAGCACAAATCAGCTATCACATGAAGGTGGGGGGGTGGGGTGGGGTGGGGGGCTCTCCTGTGACTTTCGCTGCCTTTTTCCTGTCTGTTATCACTTTGTGAAACAGGGCTTGATACTGAGTTTTCCCACTGACTGCAAAATAGGAACTGTCTTTCTGGACACTGGATATTTCTAATCTTTGTACATGTGGTTTATCTGTAAGAACATCTATGAAATTAGGCCCTTGCTCTTCTGAGTGCTGCACTGCAGTCAGCCATTCACTGCCAGCAGAACAGCTGTAAAAGTATTGTCTCCAGCATCTCATATTCAGTAGGGAAATGTCACTGTTCACAAGCCAAGTCCAAAGCCATATAATGTTAAGTATATGGTACTGTAGATTTCTGCTTTCTTATTTCTACCAAGATAAAGCATCCACTATCTAATCCCGAGAGATTCGGGTAGTACTAGAGTGAAGGCTGAAAATTGTATGATGAAAAGAGACATACTGTACATTTGGTCCTTTGTAAATTATGAAATGAGCATTTCCAGTGAAGTAGCTTAGTTTATGCAGCTTTGTCATCTTTCCAGTACCTGGGAATGAGTATTGTAGGGTCTTTTCCTCAGGCTTAACAATGACTAGTACTGTATTTCTTAAACTTATCTCCATTTTCAGTCAGTGCAATGTTTAATGTTACTTAATTCTGTAAAATTACTACTGTAAAATTATATGTGTGTATGTATGTGTATATATATATATATAATTTGGGAATATGGTGTAGAGGCAATCCGATCATGTTGTTTTCTGTATGCAGTTCATTCTTTAGAACTCATATTGTATTTCATGTTATTTATTTAATAAAACAACAAAACATTTGCTCCTTCTTGTCTTATTAGAACACTTTAGTACCATGCTACGTATATATTTCGATCATTTTTATTCTGTTGGATCCTATACTAAAATGGGGTTTCCTGTATCAATGAGCATTCACCCATCAAATGATTTTGTCATGACTACAGCTGGGGTAATTTTCAGGTCTAGGATGACATTGTGCATTGGCCTTCACTAAAAGCTCAGTTCAGAGTACCATGTCCAATATTAAATGCTAATTGCAAAATATTTTCAAGCTTTTGTAGGTCAGCCTTCTCAGCTGGCTCAGACTCCAAGTACACTTATATTCTTCACAGTTCCAGTGATTCATTTTATACACATGTAGAAGTAATAATCACGGTTTATAAGTTCCATAAATATATACATTTAATTGATTATTAGCAGGTATGAGTCTGCAAAAAGTGCAACTCTGCTAATGCCAGTCAAATTGTGGCAGAGGTTGTAAATATCTTAGGGAAATTATAATTTCTTAATAAAATAGCGGACTATTACTCAATTAGTGCTACTAATATGAAATGGTTATCACTTCGTTCTTAACTTTGTTGTAGCTGTTAGCTAATGAGAATATATGCAGTACCCGCATCAGACAACTCCCTTTCTCCCCCTATGGTCATACACCGTTACGACAAAAAGAGAAAAACATCTGATTCGTTCCACTGAGTTGTGGGTATTGTAGTTTTCGGTGAATATAATCCAATGTAATACTCATCGTTTGAACAACAATTACCAGAATCCTTTGCGCAAATAAATCTTACACTACAGACGCGGTTACGGCGTTTTAGCTGCAGTCAGTCTGACCAGCTCTGTAGATTAATATCCGGCTTCGTTTTTTTTCTCACCGTTACACCGCGACCGGTCGACAGCGACCGCTTTACAGAATGTCCGACGGCGGGGGTACGGAGGAAAATTCCGGCACCATGGAGGTGTCGGCCGTTCAGACGGTCGCTGATACCTCAGTGCTGCAGAAGCATATTAGGAAACTCGTACCGCTGCTCCTGGAAGATGGCGGCGAGGCTCCGGCTTCATTGGAAACCGCCCTGGAGGAGAAGAGCGCCGTGGAGCAGATGAGGAAATTTTTGGCTGATCCCCAAGTTCACGCCGTCCTGGTTGAGAGAAGTGCACTCAAAGGTACATTTAGCAGAAGTGCTTAGCTACCTATTATGATTAGAATACCAGTCTTGTATCTTCAGTGTCATTACGGAACGTGTTAAGTACCAGCAAAATGGTTTTAAGCCCCATGTTAGCAAGCTACGTTGTCTAACGTTATATGCGAGCTAGTAGCCTATTATTTGACAGCTAACTAGATAAATTGCAAACTCAATTCACCATTACATTGTTATATAATAAATCAACAGCGCCACAGGGCGTGGAAGTAAAAACGGCTGCTTTCAAAGAAACTGAATCCTTTGACGTAAACGTGTGTAGTTATTTTTTATCATGTGGATCAGGCTTGCCTTGATTTTTTTTTTCAGGCAAGTTATCTCTGAGCTGCTTGCCCTTTCTAATAAGTACCCAATCTTGATCTCTGGATAATTCACGTGACCAGCCACTGCGTTTGAGACTAGGTTTTGGTCATTCTGGAAGGATTTTGTGTGAATGCATCCGAAACCACCCTTCATCCTTTTACTCTGCTGTGACCTCCTTCCCTGCAAGTGTGTGTGTGTGTGTGTGTGTGTAGCGGAGCTCCGCCCTTTGTCAAACAGATAGATAGGCACACACTGGCTGGCTGTACTTAAGCACTACAGATGTATTTCGGAGGAAAAAATGAGCCAAACTAGAAAACGCAGCAGCATTTGGATGCACTTCAGCTAAAAAAAAAAGAGAAACGGCCAGCCATTTTATGAAGTACTCTTGGAGGTGGACTTCATTTGTTGCAGTCTTCTCCTAAAGGAATAGGTGTGGCTGTTGACAACAAGAACACATTTCCTGTAGATCACTTCTTCTACTGCTATTCCAGTCATCCTACTGCAGCATTGCCCATTGTACACAGATGAACGTAGCTGTTGTCCAAATAATTTATTTTTGCCATTAGCAGCAGAGTCATGTAGTTTTCCTTGAGCAGTCATCTGCTGTTGCCTAATACACGTTGAACATCTTCAGCACAAGCCTTATCTTGACTCTGAGTGATTGATATGGTGGTAATTAAATGTATGTATGTTTCTACATAGAGGAAGTTGGTGATGAAGGAGAGGAGGAGAAAGAGTGCATCACTTATAACGTCAGCATTGACATACGCTATGGGATCAAGTCCAACAGGCAAGTTAATACATCCAAAACTCTGAACAGAGGTCTTCTTTTCAACTGTGTGATAGAATGAATTTATGTAATGCCATTTGAAAAGACTCTCCTTTTCTTCATATAACCATTTAATATATTGGTTTATTTTAATATATCCAAATCAGCTTCCACTTCTGTTAAGTCTGAGCAATGAGTATATTCACCATTTTTTGTGTGCAGCTTGGCTTTGATCAAGAGGACAGGAGTCATCGATGCAGACAAGCCCATATCAACTCAAGTTCGAGTTCTGACCTTGAGTGAGGATTCTCCCTATGAGACACTACACTCTCTCATCAGCAATGCTGTTGCTCCTTTCTTCAAGTCCTATATCCGTGAGTCTGGGAAGGCAGACAGGTAATTCTCAGAATGTATCATATTTTTGATGCTTTCAAAACCTTCTGTGACATGAACTGAGACTAGAACACAGCATTTAGTAGTAGAAGTGACATTGATGGAAAATTCATCCAGAGGGCTTAAAATCTGTCTTCACCCTTTAGAGATGGGGATAAGATGGCTCCCTCTGTTGAGAAAAAGATTGCCGAGCTGGAGATGGGTCTTCTCCACCTGCAGCAGAACATTGAGATTCCTGAGATCAGCCTGATCATCCACCCCATCATCACAAACATTGCCAAGCAGTGCTATGAGCGTGGGGAGAAGCCCAAGGTCACTGACTTCGGCGACAAAGTGGAGGATCCAACCTTTCTTAACCAGCTGCAATCTGGAGTCAACCGCTGGATCAGAGAGATCCAGAAGGTAAGAGGCACTTCCATATTTTTTTATCTTAAATGGTAACAAATGTGATACTTGATATAATAAAAGGTACGTATATGGAAAAAATAGCTTTCTCTAACTTAACCACCACATACTCACCACTAGGACTCTTCTTTTGTCAGGTGACAAAGCTTGATCGAGACCCAGCTTCAGGCACAGCCTTGCAGGAAATAAGTTTCTGGCTGAATCTTGAAAGAGCCCTCAACAGGATCCAGGAGAAGAGAGAGAGCCCTGAGGTTCTGCTCACACTGGACATCCTGAAGCACGGCAAACGTTTCCATGCTACCGTCAGCTTCGACACTGACACTGGTGAGTAACAAATATTTGAAATTTAGTTTGTGTAATTGATGCTTCCTATTCTGGCAGTTCTTTTAACAGACGTTGTTCTTTCCCTCTACTTGCACAGGTCTGAAACAGGCTGTGGAAACTGTCAATGACTACAATCCTCTGATGAAGGACTTCCCTCTCAATGACCTTCTCTCTGCCTCAGAGCTTGATAAGATTCGCCAGGCTCTCATGGCCATATTCACTCACTTGAAAAAGATCAGGAACACCAAGTACCCTATCCAGAGAGCACTGCGTTTGGTAGAGGCCATCTCCAGAGACTTGAGTTCCCAGCTCCTCAAGGTGTTGGGCACCAGGAAGCTCATGCATGTTGCTTATGAGGAATTTGAAAAGGTTGGTGTGGTTGTAGTACATGCTCACTTTAGTTAATCAGAATATTATACGTCTTCCTAAATGTCCTTTACACTTCTGTGTGCAGGTGATGGTGGCTTGCTTCGAGGTGTTCCAGACCTGGGAGGATGAGTATGAGAAACTCCAGGTGCTTCTGAGGGATATTGTGAAGAGAAAGAGAGAAGAGAACCTGAAAATGGTGTGGCGTCTGAGCCCTGCCCACAGGAAGCTCCAGTCTCGTCTCGACCATATGAGACGTTTCAGAAGGCAGCATGAGCAGCTGAGAGCTGTCATTGTCCGTGTGCTGAGGCCTCAGGTAAAACCTTTTTTTTTTTTCTTCTTCCTGAATCCACAGTGGCTTCACTTGACCTGACAATCATATCTTGAATCATGATCATGTTTTCTTTTTGTCAGGTGTAATAGAAATTGTCTTGTTTTATTTGCATTTGATTGAAACATTGTTCCTGTAACTTTGTCTCCAGGTTTCTGCTGTGCCGCAGCATGCACCTGGAGAGACAGTTGAGCCTCAAGACATGAAGGTAGCTGGAGTTCTTTTTGATGCAGCTGATGCTAATGCTATTGAGGAGGTCAACCTGGCATATGAGAATGTCAAAGAGGTTGATGGTCTTGATGTGTCTAAAGAAGGCATGGAAGCCTGGGAAGCTGCCATGAAGCGTTATGATGAGCGCATTGACCGCGTGGAGACCCGCATCACTGCCCGCCTACGTGATCAGCTGGGAACTGCCAAGAATGCCAATGAGATGTTCCGCATCTTCTCCCGCTTCAATGCTCTGTTTGTGCGTCCCCACATACGTGGTGCCATCCGGGAGTACCAAACGCAGCTCATCCAGCGTGTGAAAGATGACATTGAGTCTCTGCATGACAAGTTCAAAGTGCAGTATCCTCAGAGCCAAGCCTGTAAGATGAGCCATGTCCGGGACTTGCCACCTGTGTCTGGGTCCATCATCTGGGCCAAGCAGATTGACCGTCAGCTGACTGCATATATGAAGAGGGTGGAGGATGTTTTGGGAAAAGGCTGGGAGAATCACGTGGAGGGACTAAAGCTAAAGCAGGATGGTGACAGCTTCAGGGCTAAACTCAACACCCAAGAGATATTTGATGACTGGGCTCGCAAGGTATGGGACTGATCATAGACGTAGTATTTGTAAATGTTATTGATTTGCCATTTTTTCTCAAATATTTTACAATTGTTCTAGTTTTTGCCTGTTACAT